CTTGATAATTATAGGAATAACGTTTAGTCTGAATACTCCGAAATCATCACTTTGGAAACTTGATTTTCATATTAAGATAAGGAAAACTGAATTTTTTCACAATCATGTCATGAAAACTAATTTGTCTTAAGTATTTCAGTATATAAAATAATTGAACATACTTAAATACTTTAAATTGTGATTCTTTCAATACGCATTATCCTAACTGAGTAATCAAAATTTTGAATTTTGTTAATTGTTATACTTGGGCATTTAATAATATTTTCATAATATTATAAATAATAGAATATTTTATAGTTTGTGAGAATTTAAAATTGCCATGATTATATTAAGTAAAAAAGATTAATCCTATTCCTATAGTAATTATTCTACATAAATTCCAATTAAAATTGTTCATGTAGTCGTGTTATGGTTTTGTTTAAAACGTGTCAAACACATGATTAATGAAAATAATCAACTTCTTTTAAAGTTTGTATAGAATATATTATTTTATTGAATGCGTATTTTCTTCTCCTTTTTAATGAACTTTTAGGTTGAATATTGAATTAGAATATACACGAATTATGAATATTTGGTATAATTTGGTTATTAAGATTTTAGCCTTGAATCACTAATAAATTAAATCATAATTTAACCTTCCGTCTTGGTGTATCGTATATTTAATGACCATTACATGGTTACCACCGGTTACCACATAATATAAATAATAATACAAACAGTAGTATAGATGAACGTTACGAAAAAAATTACCTTTACAAAGGTATGATAATGGCCGTCAATTTGTGTAACACGAGAGCAACATTCAATGTAATCATAATACTCTAATACATGCGTTTCTAGGTTTGAACTATAATACAAATGTACAAAGTGTTAACATCAGGTTCAATTTTGAACACGGACAATCCTATTTAATTCATACAAAGACATCATGTACCTATATAATAGTATATATATTGCAAAAAAGAATTTTAGAACGATTCCTTGGTACTTAGCATAAATATAACAAGCAATTTACATTTCGCATTCTAATGAGGGAAAAAACTATAACATTATGTTTACACTTTGAAATTGTTGCAAAAATAAATTTAACCATCTTGTTTGTATAACGTGTTACACGTACCTAGTACATTAGTAAAATTATTACGACTCAATATGTTTTTTGTTCATTAATCAATAAACAGTGTCAAATATTATTATCCTTGCCAGCAGTTGTCGACGAGATTTAGATGAAAATTCGTGCTTAAACTAGAATATATTTCAATTCGCAAATCGCATGTTGTAATTTTTTTTTTACTCCTTTAGATCCTTTATCTTTTTTTTAGGTAAAATGCATTGCAGTTTTTTATACTGACTGTCCAGTAGTAGGTATAATAATATCGATTGTGACTAGATAAATCGTGCGATCCACAATAGACAATTACTATTTTATTATCTTCTTTCAGATTAAAAGAAAAAAAAAATTTTCCGATAATCTAATTTCACAGTCCACAAAATTCCTCTATTGTTGTATTAACGATAAAAATGTACAGTTTGATACACACCATGTATACCTCTTTCATTTTTTTCTTTAATCGGATTGCCAATCTGTTTTATATCGTAAAGGGGGGGGGGGAAGACGTATAAAACCGTAGACATGTACAGCGTTTGGTTGATGAAAGTATACGTATAATACAGTTGTATAATATTATATTGGATAACAAAAGTGTAACGAAAAAAAAATATATGGAATGCGCTTTGCGCGCGTAGTGGTGGTGTGTTTTGTTTCTGGCGAGGGAAAAAAATGAATTTATCATTGTTAAGGTCTACCATATAATGGCTAAAATATACTCATCGTATTTTCGGAATAAGACGATTCGGCGAAGGCTGCGCGACTGGAGTAGAATAGTGAAAGAGACACGTCGAATCGAGTCATTTATATTGCAGAAAGTACACGGGCTCAACGAGGACCTTGTCAATTATTTTTGGCACAATATTGGGACTATAAATCAAACGAAAGGCTTAGCAAACTCACCGTTTAAAATGAAAACCATGCCAAATCCGTTCCATTCTTTTTCCCTCTTTATTCTGCTGGAGTACGTGAAAATGTGGTTTTATCATAGTAGTTTGCTGCCGATAGACAACAACAACAACAACAACCATTTACAGCCACCACCGAACGAAACGATTCACCAATAATTATTATCGATCACATATTTATACATCGCATTTTGTCGAACGTGTATCACAAGAAAACAACTGACTCAAATAAACAACGTGAGTTTTACACTATAAATTAATGAATTATCGTTGATTAATGGCAAAAACATTATACTACTACAGACAAGAACTGTGTATGTCTGTATGACAGCATTACGGACGGCATTACTACGGCGGTAATAACATCTCGCAGTGATGCATGCAATCTTGACGAAAAAATACAGTGATGTAACGTGTCTTGACGACAAAATACAAAATACAATAATCTATAAATCTACATATTATCTTACCCTTCTACCCCTCACTACCATACATATTGAGTAAACGAGTAAACAGAAGGCGCCATCTTGTTGCCGCCTTATATACACTCATTGCGTGTCCATATAGTTGTAGTATAAGGTCTACGACCAATCGCAATCGGCGAATTGAATGCACCACATTACCAACTGCCTGCTGATAAATTATAGGATCTATCAATACTCTATTTCAGTAACAATGTCATATGTAACCTAACGTGTACCAAGCGGGGTTTCAGTTACCACGGTACCTGTTTTGTGTCGATAGCATTACAATATAAATCACTGAATTTGTGGCAATGCAGCACACACAACGCACTAACTGTTGCAACGGCGTCATAGTTATTTTAAATTGGAAAAACAAGTACGGTCACCTGCAGACTTGAACAACGATCACTGCCGAACATCGTTGCAGTCGATAATAACTATTGCATATACCGTCGCCATATTGCTGGGCTCGGATCGTCGCGGTCACCGCGGTCACAGCGGTAGGTACAATAATACAGATTCGACTGCAAAGTGGTTGCGTTGTATCCGCGGCCCGCGCTGCATCCTGCACCAGGACGTTCGCACCTCTGATTCGCTCGTCTGCTTCCGACTCGCCGCCGGTAAGACGGTCGTTATCAAAAACACGCGAACGTCCAAGCGAATAGTGCTCGCGCGGTGGACCTTTTGAATTATGTCGCGCACGAAAAGCTCCTCGCTATCCCTTTTTCCGCAACGGCAACAATTATTACCAACCTCCGTTTCCGAACTTAACCCGGAATGGTGAGGAATTGCGCTCGGCGAGCTGTTAAGTGCTCTGCGGCGCGGAACCCTGCACGGACGGACGGGCGACGTGTGGTAACCGTGTCCCGCCGCATCGTGTTTTTGTGGTTAAGTGCTATTTGTTTTTTCAACACTTGTACTATCGACGTGACCGTTTGTAGAACGGAATACAAACAACATCGGATACGCGGCCAAAGCGCGAGCTCCTCGGATTTATTCAGAGGGCCACTTTAGATGTCCACCGCGATTTAAACGTATAATAATATTTAAAATGCTCTCGATAATAATATAATGGCGTGTGTAAGTACTTACGTGAGCGTCGTCCGAATCGTCTTCTCTTCGAAATGCACTGTTAAGAAATAGGTTGTTGGTACGCGCGGATGAAGTACAACTTCTTCCAGAGTAATTCGACCGATAGAATATTAGATTTGTATTTGAAGTATGTAACATTTTAAATTAAGATTATTTTTTACCTACTATTATTATTATTATTGTACAAAGATAATACATTAATACCAAGTGAAATTTAAAACTATCACACTTGTAGAGAGTGAGAACAACTATGGCGGTACGATATAACCCTATCGACATGATATATTAAGTTATAACTTCGAGTAAATAAAAATTGGATCATAATTTTGTTCTAATAATTCACTACTGGTATACCGATAGTACAACGATTAACAGACACTATATTTTTCATTTGCCGACGGCGGCTGTACACAAAACTAATTTAATATCATTTCGAATTTAAACAAAACCTACCTACTCGTTCGCACTTATAACCATTAACCAGGTAATTCCGTACATTTAAATTGCTCAGGGCGACCATTTCAAAATTCGTTATCCCATTTATCACCGCAGAAAATAACCTCTAATAAAAGTGTGTGACAAATGGATAACTCAGAAGAAAATAATCAGAATTCAATGTGTATCGTACTAATTATGGCTGTCCGACAGCAATACATCATATTATTGCAGTCGGCTATCTAGTTGTTTTATATGTCTATGGGTATAGTAGACACATTAATACAATCTTGCATTGATAATGAGTTTTAATAATAATAATAATATATATAGCCGTTACGTTCTCGGGACGATTGCATGAAATTCGAGGGACGAGTTAGATGACTTACGAACTGAAAGCATGTTCGTGTAAGCTATTTATTATTTAATTATTCTCTGAGCATACGATTGATGTATTGATCTATATAGGTATGTTATAATATTCAAACCCACTGGCTAGTGCGAATCATCGTTGTACATTTGCATTATTCGAATTATTACTATAGTTCTCGAAATGATTAATCATCGTACCGTTTTGTTTATAACCGCACTTAAAATATATATACGGACGCGGTTTTCGTTTTTGATGTCTTATTATTATTATTATTATTATTACTATCCTGGTGTCTGAATCGTAAAATTGTTCCACTCTCCGTCATCCGTATAGTTGCGATGCACTCCAATGATCAATAAAGCCCAAAGTCAGGCTCTACCCGTGTGAGGTACGCCAAGTTTCAGGTCACGTAATATCTGATAAGAAACAACCCCCGAGCGTTACACTTCAGTCTGCCTGTTTGTCTGATTCTACATGAGAATCGTTAAAATCCTGTGGAGCCCGCTATAATCATAAAACGCCCGGCTACTGTGTAAATTAATTTCTCATTTTCTAGTCCAGAGTCATAGAACTTGCTCTTCAGCATATAAAACTTATGTGTTGTTTTTTTTTTATTGCAGCCAGACGATGACAAGGAACCAGACAATCCCGAAGACCTGTCTAACGGCGGTTACTCAGACAGACCACCTGCTCCACCACCACCACCGCCATCAAACGGTATTTTTTGTTTATATTTATAAGTTTTATTAGTTTTATTTCCCAGAACCGAAGAAACCATTAAACATCTATTAATGTTGAATTCAAATAATGTCTGTGTTATATTTGCGGCTTACTTGTACAGCGTGCACAATACACACATTATTATACTAATATATATACATATATATATATATATATATATATATATGTATGTATGTATATATATATATTACATTATTATTATTACCAATGTGTAATTACCTCAAATAAAATTAAATACCAAACCTACTATAAGTTATATTTGAATTAAGGTTTTTATTTTTTAAATTAAAATACAACTAAAATTCTGACTATAATACTGACAAAATGTTTATTCTTTGATTATATGTAAGTTCAATTAAATAAAACATCCTTTGATTAGTTTAAAAGTTTGAAAGTCCGCACTAATATTTTATTTCAAAGGGACTTATAGGTACTAAAATATTATAGTAATGGTGAAATTAAATGATAAATATTGGATGAAGCTCGAGAAAAAAACAGGCTAACAAAAATTATCTCAATTTAAATTATTTACAATTAATTCATAAATAATATATTTTACTTAAATATATAATATTATTATTAATTATTAGTACAATACAACACATAGTGTTTTTGGAAAAAGTTGTCTTAACAAATAACGGACGACTTTAAATACCAGACAATTTCGATTACTAAAATTTTTTAAATTTTAAAAATTTTGTCCGCTAATTCAGTGGGTTCAGTTTGCAGTTTGTTCTCCAAACGATATCCTTTATTTGGATGTGCCTGCTATTGTGAGAGGAAGTTTTAATTTATAATAGTATAAATAAAATATATATAGAAATAAAAGCTGGCACAAGCAGGACTCTACTCAGAATAATTTTTCGTTTACATAAGTTTATCATTAAATTCAAAATTTAACACTTCTATTCAAATGATAAGGTGATAAGGAAGGTACACACAAGACTTACTATTCAGTAGAACGATTTTGCAGGTTCTATACCAATTTACTTTGTTTAATTAATATGAAGAAATCGTACAATGTTATGTCCTTGAATGTTTAACTATAATGTTGGCCAAGTATAAAGAATTTTTTCTTTTATATCTCACTATGATTTATATACATTCATTATAATATGTTCAAAAAAAAAATTAAATTAAAATATGTGAAGTTTTAGTACATATTCGGACTATCTCCGAGTGTGTGTGTACAGTGCACAGATTGTAAAACCGGATCTCATCTCCACTTATCTCTTAGAATCTAAGTTTATAATATTTAAGATGATCAATTTTTTATATGATTTTATTTCACATTTTTTAACGTATTTTAAACGATTTGATTTACAACGGTGTGGTAGGATTAATGACGAAAGGGAAAATATATATATGCATATTACTTTAATATTAACTTCACCCTTTCATATTGATATTATACGTATATCAGCTTGCAAGTCCACATAAACATATTTACATTTAAACATTACCAAAATTCTAAAAGTTTTTCCAAATGCATACATCAATAGTAAGTTAACATTCGGTTACAGTTGAAGTACCTACTCAGTTCCTACTCTAATTAATAACATTCATACCTATATGCACATTGAGAAAATTGCGAATCCATTTGGAAATGAAAAACTATGAAAACGAATTTAATTTAAAAATTAATTAATATTATTTTGTAATTACTGTACAAATTCGAGTACCTAGCTAATATAATTACCTACTGAACGTACGTATAGATCTCCTAATAAACGTCCCTAGGCGCATATCATTATATAAACCTATAGCTTTTGTTTTTTGTAGACGTATAGTTATTACACGCAACTAACACAAGTAATGCGTTATTTAAATGCCTATTAATATCTGCGTATTTTGTGCAAACAAATAATAATATTATCATTATTGGTCTTTCAATATACAATACTATACATTCATACCAATATGCATCGTTGGCATCGTATCCTCTGGTAGGCATATAAAATGTGTTATAGTAAATACCGTTCATAACGACTCAACTATTTATACAAACATATTTAAACAAGGAAAAAACATTGACAAAATAAAAATATATCTTATTATATAAAATATTGCATAATAAATCATGTTATTTAAATTGTTTGTAACTACAAAAATTAATTATATTCTTATATTTGTTTTTTTATAATATATACAGTTTAGTATTCCTAAACTACGCTAAGGTTTCTTTAAACTGTTCGGGATATACTATATTATCAACATAATTGAAAACATTAAAATTTAGTATAATAGTCATTGTGACGTGTATGCACAATGTACTAGACACTGGGAAAATATTATCTTTATAGAAAAATATAATACATTTAAATATAATATTTATTAATATAATACAGCTGCAAGAACCGAATATAAAAAAAGTAATTGTTTTTAGTGAACAATTTAATAGTAATAATAATACGAGTATGTCACGTCACTTTTTCACTGTAGCATTCACGGTAATTGAGTGTAAAGTATTTAAAATAAATTGACCTACTAATGTCGACTTTTACTAATTTTACTTCCATATTTTCTCTAAGTATGTATTTTAAATTACAGCTTTTTTCCATATTCTAAAGTACATTTTAAACCTAAATGTAATACTCAGAATCCATAATATTGCAGTTCACAAAAATGCATGTTATTATGCACAAATAATTCAGACTGTTGTACATTGTAGGTAAACAATTTTTTTAAATATATATTCATTATATATTATACTATATTATATTGTTTATTATTATTTATACTGGTTATATAGTTTAGTTTTGATTTATTTCATACAGGTGCCAGGTACCTTTTAGGTACAGTTAACTACTTGTTTAAATTAGAAATATGAATTCAAAATTATTTTTAAAAAAATGGTTCTCATAAATTTTCTGTTGTAGGTATTGATTTTCTATTCATGAGAATTTGAATTTTTTTTTATTATTATTAATTATTTTTGCAAATTTCCAAACCAATATAAAATTGTACTTCCAATATTTTACCTAAGTTTACAGGATAGAACACTAAATTAATAGTAACTTTATATGCATTAAAAATCCTTAAATATAATGTATAAATATAAGCAGTAAAAGTTTAATAGCACACAAAAAAAAAAAAACAGTTTCTCCGTAGCTATTATAAATATTTAAAAATAAATAATATCAATGATCAGAGATCTAAATTTCTCATCGTAATATTTTACGTAGCAGTAGTAAAATGTCATTAAGTATAAAATCCAAACTACAGAACCTACCCGGAAAATCAATGTTTACCAATGTACATTTATTTCAATATCAATCGAAAAATATAAACTATAAAGTACAAATTAATACAAATTTAAATACTACTTTTTTATGTTGGCAAAATATTATTTTTAAGTTCTTTGAAAATACCAAGAAAACATTTAATTTTGCATTAAAAGATTGAAAATATATTATATAACATTAGTCCTTAAAATGTTGAATGGTCGAAAATGCATAATATACCATGCATAAGTACCTATCTAATACAGTGGACTCTCGATTATCCGCTGTCTTCCGCGGAATCGTCTACATACCTATATGTATATAAAAAAATATACATATATTGTATCTTTCCATTATAAATCATTTTAGGTTTAATAAATTGGGTTGTAAATTTGTGATAGCCGATTACTTGATAACGACGTAAAATCTACTAATCTAGAAGAACAAGACGATACACTCTGTGTGATAAAAATGTTATTAAAAAAACTTCAATCACAAGTTAAAAAGAAGAGTCTTGAAAAGAAAAAGCAAAAACTTGTGACTGATTTTTTTACTCATAAATAATTTATAATTTTTACTATAATTTTTCACTATACATACATGTGTATCTTTTTTAATAATATGTAATAATGATTTTCAATTTCAAATTCCAATTTATTTTTTATTATAAAATTTAATTTTGCGGATTACCCACGAAATTCGTTTATCCGTGGATGTCCTGCCACCCTATTCCACTGATAATCGAGAGAACACTGTATATGTTATAAGATTTCAATTTTTATGTCATGAAACAAATTTTGTGATTTCTTAGCATATCAAATAATCAAATGTAATTTGTAAAACAAATTTACATTCAAACCTGCACTCTTGTGGCTACTCTATGTTTAATTTTCTGGTATGTTAGTTACGCATATTTATTACGATGTACCTATTTAGAATACATTCAACTTTATAAGTTCCATTCAATATCCAACCAAAGACACGTCACCTAGAATTATTTTTGAAACATCAAAAATATGTATTTTCTTTTGCCTCGCTAGTAATGATTTTATATTTTTAACCAAACGGTGTTATAAGGGGTTCTCATAAAACGAGACAACTTACTTTTATCGTTTGTCATCGTTGTGGCAGTGCAACAAACACTTACCATTAATCATTACCTATTTTGATAGCATACCATCTACACATTGCTTGCCTTTGAACTGTAGCGACTTGTCGGGTAATAACTTGTAAACAGGCCAGTTTCATCTGAGCACGTCGTTGGTGTACGAGTGTACTATCGCCATTCGTCACTTTTTGTTATCCTTGTCCGAATACCAGCCTAGACTTGACCAATTGGTTCAAACGTCGTTTGGAACACTCGCTTCTTTTCCGCATAATATTAGATAGAAGGTTTTCCTATATGTCACACGCCACAGTGCCAACGGAAAAACTCTGAACTCACAATGAACACAGTTCAGACGTGTGTTATTCGTCGGGTAATCTAACAAAGTAGTCACTGTCTAGTCAGCTGCTCTCATGTCTGTAGAGCCATTAGTAAGTGTATAATAAATAATAATTCGTTAAATCTAAGACATCTATACTTACAGCTTTCGAACCTTGATTGTCATAATAAGTTATGATCTTGTTTTGGTCGTCTTATTGCCTTTGAATAATGTTTTCGGTTTTTGGAAGTGGTGCACAATATCATAAAGTACAAACATCATTATTGGTACAGTAAAATGCAATTCCATCGCTGAGAAAATCAATAACTCTTTGGCTCTATAGTTAAGAATATAAAATACATTAGCCATCTTTAGGCGGAACAAATATAAATGTTATCATTAAACAATTTATTTTATAATTTAATATATTTTAAAATGAGTGTCATTAATCGACGTATTTATGACACGATATTAATATTAATGCGGCAAAAATCAAACTTAGGTGGTCCAGACGTGTATTATTATATTAATGTACTCAATATTATTTACACTATAATCCCTATAGAGTATAGATATTATGAAAAATCATACACTTTTTTCTATTTGTTACTCATAACTTAAAATAATTATTATGCTTGTACACTGGACAACCTTAACATTATTTAAGTGAGTGCATATTATATATGTAACAATCTGACTACGCTCGGTTGATGGTGTTGGAAATAAATGAACAAGAGTTTGAATTTTCTTTATAAATTGAATACTTTTTATTTAATTAAAACAAAACACAATAAATTTACTAAGTCCAAATGACTATTTAAAATAATGAAGACTAGCGAGATGTGACTTTAGTGTCCTAGCTCTTAGCTCTTCGTTGATGTTAGTTCACCTAGTTCGGTGTCGCTGGTCCGTCTAGCTCGGTGGTGTTAGTCCGGCTAGCTCGGTGTTGTTGGTCCGTCTAGCTCGGTGTTGTTGGTCCGTCTGCCGAAGCCTATTCGTGAGACGTTTTTATAATGGCTATACTTGGATCATATCCCTGCCTATTATCCTACTACTTTACCATATAAGGTCATATCGTGGTCAGCCACGCGCTGCACGTGCCGGATGCTACATATATGAGCTATTTTTTTTATTTTACGGCACAGGTTATAGTTGAGATGTTGATTCCGATATTATATTGTACATATACCATCAGCTGTAGTCTTGAATTAAAATTGTATGTGTTTAAACTTATGCAGTTTGATAATTGACGCAATATGTCCATACAAATTATTATTGAACTACCTTCAGAGCCGCCAACAAGAGTATAATTAGGGTTTTGTTATGACGTATATAACATCATTATTTATTTTAACAACGGAGGACACCATAAAGTTTATATTACAAACAATTAAGGCTAGAGCACACTACGAGAGTGCTAATAACTTACTGGTACTATATGTACGAGATTTATGAGTATAGATATACCCAATAATTAATGTTACGTTGCCTAATTAAATTCAATATTATGTTCAAATTAATATTTCTAAATAACAAGTGATAAATCTAGACTACTATAATATACAATAATTACGAAATAACATAATTACGTCGTTTATGATCTTCCAAAAACGTATTTCAAAAATATTAACCAACTAGTAAGCAACTAAAAAGTTATTGATCGTCACAACCTAGGGGAGGCATAATGTATAAATTAATAATGCAAATATCAAATGATATAATATTTTATGAAATAATTTAATAGATAATGCAATTTAACGCTTTTTAAATGCAATTACTACATAAAAACAAATTGTATAATTTATTATTCAACCAGGGTATACTCAACATTTTATTTTTGAAGTATTGATACTTCATAAAATATATATAACAAAAACTTAACGGTATATAACAGCGTTTCTATGGAATATCAGCTGTGTCCTGTAAATTAATAGTTGATTACAGTTTACAAATTTACAAAATTATTTTTAAGTGCCTAAATGATATAATAATTATAAAACGACAAAACCATTTAAAATATTTTACTGATCTTAAATTGTATTGGACAAATAAATAATTTATTACCATTTAAGAAATATATCACTCGTATTTTAGACAAAATCATTAAAGAAAATAAATTGAAATCTTTAAATATTTTGTAAGCTATAATTTGTCATGTGGTATGTGAATATCAAGTTTAGAAACTAATAATAATTGGATAAAAAGGCCATTAAACATGAAACAACTAACTATTTAACTAATTTATCAATAAACATTTTTTTTGTGATGTTGTTTAAGAATGTATTGTTTGCATCCGGCAGGTTCTGGTTAATTCCCTTATGGTGCAACAGTTTTCATCGCTCTGGGCATTTCTATATTTACACAAAGGGACCATAATATTTTACTTTTTATTTTATCATGCGATTAAATTAGAATATCGTAAATTGGGATCGGCTATACAAGTCTATACAAAGCAGCTTTGGATCAAGGCACTCCACGTCCGCATCTCATACATACGTAGTTTATATGTCATTCTACTGTCAATGCATCGTTAAGTATTTGATAATTTCGTAGGTTTACCTATTACACTTCACTCTTTACGGACTTTCAAAGACATCTAAAAGTTCCAAAGCATTTACATTTTTTTTTCAATATTGTTGGTCAACTTTTAGACGGTTTCGTATTGACTTCATCTGATTATGACTTCAACGGGATTCTTAGGTACAACAAGATGATTCCACATCGACGTTTGTTAACTACATCTGTTCCATCATATTTTCTACGTAAATAATTATTATTCCCCGTAACAAACTAAAATAATAATTGTTTTAGTTTTTTTTAGCTGGTTACTTAATATTTGAGGTCATGTAGTTTTAAACAATCAACTCAATCTATAATGGAATATTTTAAAATTTGAAAGGCATTTTTTTCAGTAAATTAAATTTTCACCATTTTCTATGGCTAATTTGTTTTTTATTGGCTTAGAGCTTAAATAATTCAGATAATTAAAAAAAACCTAATGAAGACAAAATGTTCAAATTTCGGAGATCATTAAAATTACCTCTATAAATGGCGTAATTCTATAATATATATATTATATAATGTATAATATACATAGTGGATAGATTATACTTGAAAATATATGTATATACCTAGCTACATCTTAATAGAGTTAATTATTTCCATCACTCAGATCATCATTGTGGTGCCAACCTGCTTTGGTTGTAAAAACAGAGTTTTATTATTTAATTTTAACATAATTTTTCCGGGGCCAATAATAATGAGTTGTTAATCAACAAGTCACCCAGTGACCCAGCAAATAGACTTTTAACATTTTAAAAACAATACGTTACATACCTAACACAAATTTAACTGCTTGAGGATATAACTGCATCCGAACTGTAGTTAACTACCAATGTTTGTTTGACTCGTCGTCAGTCATCACTCATCAGTTATAGTGTACCTATCTAAAACCAAATAAATTGTTTGTGTTACAGAAAACCATAGCTATCAGACGCCCAACATCAAAGGGGATAAAGGCGATGCCGGTCAAAAGGTGAGTTTCACTGTTCACATTAATTAATTTTTTTTGATTGTTATTGTTACGAATCGGTCCGGCGAACATTACGACGGTTGTGTGTTCGCACACAGTCACACAGATCTAATGAACCATTAGAGCTACACGCTTAACAACCAGCTCCTCGTTAGTGACTCCGAGGTTCGCCGCCGAACAGTAATAATGACAACAATAATAATTGACTGATAAATGCGGATTCCGCACCACGACCAAGGTTTAAATTTGTTCGAAATTGACAGGGAGAGTCGATCAGAGGACCGCCCGGACCACCGGGACCTCCGGGTTCGCCGTTTTCCGGGGACTTTGCCACCGACGAAGAAGTGAGTGCTGTAAATTATGACTAATGATTTTTGACAAAATTCATCGTTTTATTTATTTATTATTATTTTTTTATTCTATTGACAATCGACTATAATTTAATATAATATTATTAGGTATATTTATCTACTATATTATAGATATTTTTCCAATAACAACTATTGCTATGCCATCAAAATCTACTCAGTACGTCGTTGCTGTTGTTGTTGTTGTTGCTGTTGTTGTAATCAGCAAACGCCAATCAAATCGTGCACATCTATTAAATATGAACTTAGATAGTATAGCTACTAGCTAATAACATTTTGCTAATGCAACGCAACCGGCAGCTTGTTTCAGTTTAAACTTTTGAAGTAATTCGCACAGCATCCTAAATTGGTTCTGTCTATTACAGTACATGCAAAATGTAAATGAGGAATATAAAGTAATTAAAAGCATTATGTGTGGAAAAAGTATACCATCGGGTGTTTATCGGTATTAAAATAATATATGATAAAAATGTATAAATTGATTTAAATTAAATTTATCAAAATTAGCTGCAAATGCATGAGTACCTTACACAGAACAATATAATTGTTAAATAGTGTTTTAAAATATGTGCAAATAAATCAAACTAATACAAGCGAATGTGGTGCGCATAATCAATATTATCAGTTTAAATAAAATATGTTACGACTAATAATGGAAAAATATAAAAATATTAACAATTGACTAGAATATACCTCATTAAAGAAGTTGACAAGTTAAGTTCAAAAAGTTTTTAGTTCCACAAATAACATGAATGAAAGTTTGAGAAACTGCTGTCTTATAATCAATGCTTGGTATACTATGTAAATAATTTTATAAAATAAAATTCAATCTCAACCCACAGGTACATGTAAAATGACAGACATTTTAAAGATACGTTTATTTTCAATATAAGACACAGTGCTATAGTAAATACAATATTACACTCATATTAAAGACTATACCTAGTTTATAATCTATTGTGATACTTAAAACACTTTTATTGAAAATAAATTATTAATTAAATCACCTTGAGTCAATAAAATTTAAAATGTTGACATAATATTATATCCCACAATATTATATATTTTATAATAGTATTTACCACTTACATATTCCTTATAAAATAAAAAGATAGGTACCTACCTAAAAAATAATGAATCTTATACTGATGATGTCCTAAAATTTTCGATATGAATTAAAATACTGGTATCGAAAAATCTTTTAATCATTATGAAAATTGTAAGGAAAAAGTTTTTTTGTCGAGATATAATATATTTAAAGTTAAACACTATTAATTTTCAATGACTTTTGAATATATCAAATAATGTCATTAAAATACTATGATGTCGATTTGTTCTCTTTTGATGTTTTATCATGTCTATACTCATTTGCCTGTAAGCGTAATTCTTTTTTCAAATTAGATTAAGCAAATGATAGAAATACGATTTGGTTTTAATTATATTCTTGGTAAACAAAGTTTTTCATAAATATGTAGGTATTAGTGAAGGGTACTAAAGTCATGGCACTTTGTTCTTGATAAAATCTCAAGAGTTTTTAAGTTAATTTTTAATTTACTTAAATTAAGTTTATTTATAACACAGATATATTCCTTGGATTTTAATCTGATACTGCGAGCTTATAAGAGATAATTATTAGTCAACTACCTTCTACAACCATTCTTAAAAACATAGAACTACAATATCCCATTAAAGTATATTTTTTTAATAAAATTAGACAATGTTTTGAACTCATATTCAAAATATTTTTTGATAACTTTTTAATGATCATTCAGAATTTTAAAATTCACAATATTATATTGGTTACACAATGTTATAGTAAACCGAGCTCTTATGAATGCAGAATTTATCATTACTTTCATATTTAAGATAAACATGAATAAAACATCAAATCTACAAGCATTTTAGAAATATTTCCCCTCGATGTTTAAAACAATCTTTCCGCTTTTTAGTTTTAATTTTTCATCTTTCTACTTATTTTATCCAAAAACAATGTACTCCCTTGAACAATTAACAAATAATTTTATAAAAAATATGTGTGTTGTAGTAGTTTTTATCACAACGGTTTTGTAACTATTATCTTGCAGACTCTTAACTCTTAAGAAATAATATACTACAAAATATTTTGAATTACAATCTAATAAATTTTTATTCAATTTGAAGTATTCTGTGTCAGCTATTATTATTAATCATTTTCTAATTCTTACTTTTAATCTACTATTTGTACGATCTGTAAAGTATTATTTTTACAATAAGCACAAGTGATGTTATGGATTTATAAAAAATATTAGAAAAAATAGAATACAATTTAATTTAATTTCAATTTTAGGGATTTAGAAAAATAATTCATTATACTTATAATATAGACATATTATATTCATTAACTAAACTATAAATAAATATGATTTAAAGTATATGAAATCAGGTTTTTTTATGAATCGATTTTTTTTTGCTTTGATCACTTTAAAACCACTATAATTCTGTATACAATATTATATCCTCGGATTTTCATGGTCCATATGTATAATATTGCATCTGGCCGTCGTGTGATATCCACAAAATTCAAATCATAACACTGACCACAGCTCACGTTTATTGTACCCTCCTCATCGGTGTCTTATTTAAATTGGCAAAGTTTCGACAAGCGTTTCTCATTCTATACATGTGTGTGTGTGTGTGTGTGTGTGTGTGTGTGTGTGTGTGTGTGTGTGTGTGTGTGTGTGTGTGTGTGGGTGTGTGTGTGTGGGTGTGGGTGTGCACATGTATAAGTATAATATAATATATTTAAGGCGTTATTATCAAAGTTGACCAAAGTCGTGCCATTGCAGCCATAAAGTGTTATGTACTAATCCGCTTTGGAATCACGTGCTGCGCAAATGTCTAATGTTGTGCGATGCTACTCGTGGTTTCCGAAAGGGTCGGATAATAATCAACAACAACAATAATAATAATAATAACGATGTGAGCATAATATAATTTAAAATATGTACCCTGCTCATTGTTATATACTTTACATCATCGATTGTATTTAATCAATGGTTATAGGAAATAATAATTATATCATCGATGTTGTTTTAGCTCGTCAAATCTGGAGTATCTGGACCGAGGGGTCCGCCGGGCATATGTAGCTGTAACCTCACCACGTTATTTGCACCCGGCAACATACCGGAATTACTACAAGGACCGCCGGGCAATCCAGGCATCGATGGCAAAATGGGATTGACAGGACTGCCGGTTGGTATACCTACACATCCTCGGTACTAATTTCAGCCGATATATTATTTCATCGGGTGGATAATTTTGCAAAACATAACATTTTTTTTTTCTTTTTCAGTCAGAGTTTAGCTCTTTGTTTATTTAATAAAATAAAATAGTTAAAAAATAAAACTTAATTTAACGTCAAATGTTGTTAACCTACCGGCTACACTCCAATAATTCTAAGAGCTATCTAGTCGAATTCACAGTTATATTATAATAATAGTTGATAGTAGTAACTAGTAACATTAACATAGTTGCTTGTTTAAATATATAAATACAAACAATTATTAATACATGTATGAACACGTCTGATTGAACGTAACGTACAAGCAAAATCTACATATGCCCTGTATATAATATATATATATATATACAATTATATATAGCTTTAACCAGACTCCTTGAACGCAACCCTTAAGTTTACTATTCACTGCCATTTACAACCTACTCGATGTCTACGATGCATAGAAAAGGGATATTCAAATGTCGTACTTAAACCGAATAACTACTGCATCCAAGCCAACCATGAGGATTCAAATACTATTTAAATTTTTTAATGCAACAAATTAATATAAACAGGTTAAAGAAGAATATTTTAACGATTATATAAGTTATTGATGTACATATTCATGGTTTTCAAGTTGAAGAATTTTAATAAAAGTACATATCAATGAAATTAAATATAAAATATAATAAATAAACATTTCTCTACATATAATAATATAAATATTGGTATAATATAATATATTATTGTAATATGTATATTCTAAAAATTTCAAAATGTATTTAAAGTTTCACTTAATGTTGGAAAGTGCCATTTTTGACATTTTATACAGGTACCTATATTTGTGTATACTATAAGTCCGTAACTTACCTACTTTTGAAACAAATGATTATGTATTGTGTATAGTTTTGCACAAAGAACGCGTGTGTTTCGAAATGCTTTTAGTTAATATAAAAGAAATCCGTACTTATCATATTTATCAACTAAAGTCGTTTGAAATATTTTCATCGTATTGTCTTTTTTGATTTCACCTAAGTTGTATACATTTATAACTTAACTATATTGAAAACAAATATTCTTTAAAAGCTTTAAAAGCTTTCAGTAAAATATAATTACAAAATGTGAATTTACTTTTTAGTTTATACCAATACTTAATAATTTAAATAAATAAAATAAAGCTTTTGAAAATTCTCGAAATTTGAATATAGTTTTTAATTGTTATTGAATTGTTCATCGTAAAAAGAATCTGACACAAAAGTTTCATAAAAAATACGTTTTAAATTATAAATTCATAAAAACTATTAACAAATTAATTAAAATATACAAATATTTACCAACCTATTATTTGTTTTTAAGTGTTTTCTAAAGATATATAGGTTAACTAAAGTTAAGTTCATAAAAATTTTTGGGAAAAAAATGTATTTTTTAGAGAATTTCTGGATTTCAGAATTTGGGAAAAGTCTTTTTCAAAACCAATAGGAGAAAATATATGAATATGATATGAATATGCTACTATAGCGAAATCATCATTCAAAAATCATATGATTATAAGTAATTGTATTGGTACTAAAAGTTACATTAAAAACCATTTTTAACTCTTTTGTATGGGTTTTTTGATGTAGTAATTTTTTCTACTTAATACAATGTTTGGATTATTTTATTTCATACACAATATTTTGGTATTTCAAAAAATCGTAATATTATGCACATCACTTGATGAGCATTGAAATAATTTGAATTTAACATAAGTCGTATGCCTTACTCAATAAATTTTGATAAAATATGTAACAGTAGGCATTATATAATATTGTTAGTAAAGTATCAATAAAAAATTCAGTTTGGTAAATCGCCAGTAACAGGGCTGTATTATAATACGTATGCGTACAAGGGTTGGATACCTAGCACTATTGGGATTAAAGTCAATAAAGTGATCACTTGGGACATCGTGAATGGTACTCTAATGTAAAATAATAATGCAATTTTGGTTTTGGTATTGCACTAGTATATAGTCATTTGGTGGGAAAAAATGTATTAGAATAACCCGTTTAAATCCTCCGAATATACTAGGATAAGTGTAAAAGTATAGGTGGGTACCGAAAAGGTCATTTTAAATGCATACAATAATATGAGCTTAAAAATAATTTATCGAATATTGACTATTAGGTCAACTACATAATAGTTGCAAAATATTACGCATTCATATAAAAACCTTATAATATATTTCTTACTTTTAGAAATTCCATCGGTATAGATATTATATTATCCGTGTAATTTCGTAGGTGTAGGGTCGGTGCAATTTACTTGGGTATACTTATATAATATGCTTTATTTACAGTGGCAGATCAGATCTAGCCGGAGTAGTATAAAATTCCCCCCCCCCCCCCCCAGGCCAGTAATAAAAGTCCTAAATCCACCACTGGTTATTTTTAACCCAAAACCTCAGATAAATAGATATATTACTTTTCAATAATTATAAAGTAAATAGGTATATTATGTTCAATTAATTATAAGAAAATAATATGTAATACATAATTAATATTTGAATAACCATTAATTTATTTTCAGGGTGCCGTAGGATTGCCAGGAGATCGAGGTCTAGAAGGCATAAAAGGTAAAGTAAAATTAAGTTCAGTTATTATTAAAACAGTAATCACTCCAACAGAAAAAAATTGTAATTAATAAACGTGTGGTATAATTATTTTAAACTGCAGCTTACTGTATACACATTATAAAATACTAGATAGGTGCATGGACTATAATTTTCAAATTTTAACGGAAAATTAGGATTTTTATTTTTTTTTTTTAATTCAAAAAAATATATTCATAAAAGCTTGAACCTTACAATTACTCATAAATTTAATTTGAACTATTTACTAAACATAATACATTTTTAAATAATATGTAGATTCATTTTCATTTAATTTTATAACGAACTAATTCATATCATTCTACGGTTCGTTAGTATTGTTTACTTAAAAGTTAATAACTGCTGTAATAATAAGATGAAATATAATTATTATATTATTACATAGTAATTTTTTTCAACAAAAATTAATTCATTCTACTATATTGTTTATGGAACAACTAATACTAACTACTAATAGCAATAAAATATGTTATACTTAATAAAATATCCTTAGAAGTATAGGCTTTCTCTGCTTAGAATCATTGTTCCCATACAAAAACTTATCATTGGATTCAAATTTAACATAATACTCATTACTACATTAATAGAATATTATACATCAGAGAGACTTAACTATTTTTTTGGTTTAGATATTCTACTGTCCATTTTGGATTTGTGGCTTTGCATTTGCTTTAATACACACCATTACAAAACGAAAGTTTTTATAGTATAAAAAAAATAATTAGATGGACAATTGAAATAACTGTTGTTATTTTAAACTTCAAAACATTTATTTTTTATATAAATAAAAAAAACTTTTACATTAATACCAAACAGTGTTGTACAAGTAAAAAAACTTAAATTCAGCCAACTATAAACAAATTGTATAGCTAATTTATTTTAGGTTGTTGGACGTGGAAGAAAATAAAACAAATTTTACTTATCACTTCATATTTTAATAATGTTCAACTAAGTGGGTATAGCAATTGCATTCCATTTGAATTAAAAGTTATTATATGTTTTGTTTTATCAATATTTCAAAATAACATACGAGTATTATACAATTTTTACATTAAAATCTATTTATTTATATTTCAACTTTTTTGGATATTAACTATTCCTTTTATACTATATTGTATACATATTATGTATATTACATAATTTCAAGCAAATCGTTTCCATACTACAATACCTAATTAATAAAAAATATGATATTGCTTTCTAATACTTCATAAAAATCTTTATTTATTACCCTAACTACATTTTTTAATATAATAATGTGTAAGATGCCAGTTTTAAAATAACACTCAGTATTGTGAAAAGAATTAACGTCGACGTTAATTATCTGTAAAATGTATGATACAATACTTACTATTCCAAAATTACAAAATAATAATTAATATTCGTATTTGATATTTGTGATTCAGGGGACAAAGGTGAAAGAGGAGATGTCGGGCCACGAGGGAACGAAGGCATTCAAGGCCCTAAAGGTAAATATACAAATTTAATCATGACATGAATAATAAAGTCTGCATTATTTCGATCATTTTAAAAAACCAAAACATAATAATATTATTGATGTATCACATAGTAAGCGAATATTTTATACTAATTTCCGTTTTATTGTTACTTATAGGCGATTCTGGAATTGACGGGGAGCGTGGTTTACAAGGACCTCCAGGTCCACCAGGTCCTCCCGGGGGATCAGACTTTTCAAACAATGATGTGAGTTTATAAAAAAATATTAAATAACAAATGGGTACTTAAATAGTAATCTTTAATTCGTTATTGTGTTAATTTTAATAATCAAAAATATAATACTGTATTTAATATTTGTAGCCAAGTTGGAAACCAAGACCGATTTATAAGGTAAATTATTGATTGTTAACGAATTAATTATAATAATTTATTTTTCGAGTAGTTAAATATTTTAACAAGAAAAAATATGATCATATTTTATTGTAGTACTTACCACTATATTTTAGACTTTTAATTTAGATTTAGTTAAAAATTTCATTAAAAAAAAATTTTTTATATTATTTTCAGGACATCGGGTTTGAGTCAAACGTTGGGAGGCCCGGTCCCCCGGGTCCTAAAGGCGACCCGGGTGTTGATGGCGCTCCGGGCTTAAAAGGTACTTCAAAGCGTATTACTATTATGATAACCTATGGTTAGAATCTCTTTAAATAAACCCCACATGATAGTAAGAAGAACAAAATTTAAATAATAGCGTATAATATATTTTTATTTTAGTAATAAATTAGTAATTTCATGCTTTTCTATATTAGGTATGTATACTCACGTGCAATATCAAACCGTAATTTTATAAGCAATAGGTACATTTTTGTTTTTAGTTACATAACTATTTTTATACTTGTTCGACCACCCAAAAATTATAAATATTTTACACCGTGTAGAGTACTAAGATGAGTTAATAGAATTACAGGACATTGGGAAGGAGGAAGCTTAGTGGGCTAAGCCAAAAGTATTTCAAGCCCCCTAGAAAAAAATATTATCCAAAATGTCCATAGAAAAGTACTATATGTATATTGAATGTTTACTTAGTAATTTTTTTTATTTCCTTGAAGTGCTTTGTGAACAGCAACCGATTGTCATTTTTTTTAAATATAAATTATAAAAACTAGAGAGTTTTCATCTGCTGTATGGTTCGTTTGAATTCAATAAACGCAATAAACCATTGTAGGTATACGAAAAGGCAGTATTCTAAGGTATAATCATTTTGTAACATTATCTATGTGGACTCTCGCCTATCCATAGAGTGGAAGTCACCCTTGGCCGGATTCGAATCGGTGACGGTCTTTGGCGCTTCCACCTTATATCCAACTCGACCACTCCATTTATTTCTATAATAAATTCGATTATCCTTCAATAACAATATTTACTTATTCTCCCAAAGAAATTTATAATATTAAATATCTAAGTTATTGACTAGGTATCCTTAAAGTATTTTCAATATTCAAGCAGCTTGTGCAAACACGTTTTTTTATTAAAATATATATTTATTTTTATATTATACAATACTACGTTAGAGAATTATAGTAGCGAGCAATACACGCTTATATAATTCAATAATTCAACTTCAAAACTGTGCAGGTGCAAAAGGAATTCAAGGCAATAAAGGAGCACGCGGGGAGCTTGGAAGCAAAGGAGTCAAAGGCGACAAGGTGATATTTTACTTACACATTAATTAATGAAATATAATATTTTAAGTAATAAAGTATTTTATACTATTTTATATAATAATTGATTGGTGGTTAATTTGAAACTATTGGGACATTACTTTAAGGACAGCTGACTTTAAAGGAATCCAAAGTGTACATTTTTCGTGCCGTAATATTATGTTCGAGGAGGGCAAACTTTTTTGCCCTGAGGCGTGAAACTTTTAAATGTGCCTCGGTATTGAGCTTACATGCGCTGTTAAAAATAACAGAACAATAAACTCCAAGTCTCACAGTGCAAATTGACAACTGGAGAGACAGATGTGTCAGCCGTACAAAATATAAACAAAACATTCTGAAATGTGCAGTTGGACAGGTTGTGTGATTGGATTAAACATGTAAAACCCTTCGACAGTAACAGTTATTATGATTGTATCAAACCACCTAAATAAAGTTATGTCATTCAGTATAGGATTCACTTAACAACGGTGGATGTATGCATTCGCCACTGTGGTCGATTTATTACTTTCATCTCTTTAAATATTTAGTGAGCTCATTAAAATATAATATATTAATATGACACGTCATAATACTTAGTACCACCGCTTTTTGTTTTGATAATAACCATTAACCACTGCTTGTTCATACTTTGTTTTGACTTTTATTAAACCGTGTATTTTAATCCGATTTAAAACTAAGTCGGATCCGGTGTTAATTTTTAGACAAAAATACGGCAGGCAAGCTACCTTTAATACCTACTACGCCTACTAGAAACTTGCTGATTGCGTCTGAATGTCTGATTACAATTATAACAATATTAATATAACATATAACATTCACTTTTTCAATTTCATATAAATTATCAGACGCTCATTGTGTTAAAAATGTTTTGTTATAATAATTAATATTGGGTGTGGATATCCATACAACTACAGCCATGCCCGACCAATACCCATCGTATGACATTTCAGGATTTTGACGATTATGCAAGACAATAATAATATATAATAGTACAATTGAAAATTAAAATATACAGTTACTTATACGTAAAAATGTCAAATTCTAATCCAGAACAATTACCTGTCGGCTGTCATACTCATATTATTATATTATATTATTTTCAAACACACTAAATATTGTATCCATTTACTAGTTACGAGTAAAGTTATACCTACAACAATAACAAAATTAATAATAATATTATGATAGCTATATAATATATATAATATGCATGCTGCGCAACAAATAAATGTAGATAAAATAAAAGAAATAATATCAAAAATAGTTGTATGAAGTATAAATATTTGTACAATTTACAATAATATAAATTGTAATAGATTAAGGGGATTGCAAATGGACAGTTTTCAAGGAGTTAAAAATAGGCAATTTTCAAAATATTGTATGCATGAGGGTTTTGTAAATGTGTGCAAAGTAAGTAATTATTAGTGTGTGACTGTGTAAATAAAATAGAGGAGTGCTCCCGCACGCGCACATACAAAATCACTATTTCGGTGTTGCGCACGTGGACGGTAAACATAATGTACTATGCACATTTATATGAACTTTTTTGTTAAATCTACCGATGGACCTGATAACACAATAAGCATAAGATTTCTAAAAACTTATGTCTACTTGAGACCGACCAAGCCTCATTTTAAGTCGAATAATCAACATTTAAAATATCGTAAATTATTAATATCAAATGTTGTTTAGGAACATCATTTAAAAATAAGTGTGCTGAATACTCCTGATCGATCTCTTGAAGACATATCGACGAATTAAATCGGTTTTCAGAAATCTTATCACATTATCAGGTCAATTTATTGGTATGACTGACAAAATATTGGTACATTTGGGTTGAAATAATTGTCCGCGATCCCCTTAACCAATTCTTATATTGTAATTATTAACACATTTTTGTATAGAAACAAATGTAAAAAAAAAAATGGCCTTAGTTATAAAACCTTAAATAAAAAAAAAAAGACAAGAAGTTGTATAAACATTAATTTTGCTAAAAAAAAAGCAAAAAGATTTTTGCCGAAACCAGGGATCGAACCAGGGACCTTTAGATCTTCAGTCTAACGCTCTCCCAACTGAGCTATTTCGGCAGATATATATAACGTGTTTTTTACACTTATTTAAGTAAAACTTGATGTTTCAAAATATTCGACTACAATGCAATTTCCCCTAACGGACGCCTCTAAATAGTGGACACCTCCAAATAGTGGACTAAATTTCAGTGACAGGAAGTGTCCATTAATTAAAGGTTTCACTCAATGGAATAATTAAGAGGGGGAGACCTCTTCCTCTTTTTTTTAAGTTATTGATTATTTTAAGGTATTTTTCGGTGTTTTTTTTCATTTTAAACAATAAAAATAAAAATGAAAATATCCCCTCCCCATCTCACTGTTACTTTGAAGCCCCCCACTTCAATGTTTGAGATTCAATACCTTATCCCCTCCCTTAAACAATTTTTTAATGTACGGCTGGTTTCACTGTGTATTATTGTAGATAATTTATCGATAAATCGATAGACGATAGTTGATGTATATTTTTATTTATTTTTTGTTGTTGACTACAAATTTTCTCATCTTGGGTAATATAAAAATAAAATTAATTTTATTAGATAACATTTTTTACTGTATTAATGAGAAAAAAAATTTTGTTTTAAATGTATAAGACTTAGTCTCCTCTCAAAACATGCACTGTTAATTCTTATTTTGTGTTAAAACTTAATAAATTGTGTTGTTAATATTACTTGTTATGTTACATAATAATAATTGTATACCCTACCAACATATACAATTATTCATTTGGAAATTTTTATTTTTATTGTAAAAAAAATGTATTATTTATTACTTAGTTGAGATTTAATCTCCATAGTACTGTCAGTACTGAAATACTTAATCTTAAATAATTAAGCATTTTTCCAAACATTTTTCTTAGTAAATCTTCCTCTCTGACCTCTGTGAATTATAAGCTAATAAAATATAAATTATTATTATAGGTCCTAACTAAGTACCTACCTATATAATTTTTAGTCATATACAAGCCATAATTAATTCAAAAGCGTTTTACGTTTAGCAATGATTTTTATTTTATAATCGTAGTTTAAAGGGTACTTTTGGGAGGTCATGCATTTCCCCGTGTGAGATTTTAGAGTAGAGACGATTCACCTTGCATACGTCACTTACAGTAGTGCTTTTAGATAATTCACGACAAAGTAGGTATGACCTATATTATGGATTTAATGGGTATGCTAATGAAATTTTTTTTGTAAAATATAATAATAATAAATATTTTGAGAATTTCTACCAATAATAATTTGGTTTTGATTATTATCTGATTGTACAGGGTCATGCTGGATCTACAGGACCACAAGGTTTTAAAGGTAAATACAATTTTCTATTACCAAAATTCTACCTCCCAATATTTTACTAAGACTTACATAATATTTTCTTAAATAATTCCTATGTACTTCAAAGTATAATGATTTTCATAAAGCTAAATATTAAAGCCTAATAAATAATATAACATAACTACCAAATGCAAATTAATTAAATACTAGTTTTTATGCAAGACATACGCACCCAATAGCAAACGGAGTAGGCTGTAGACACAGAGAATAATAATTCTAATGAAATATTCGATCTACAACTTTAAATCTACATTACTTTTATTAGAAATATCCCATAAATATTAATATATTTATGACGTTTGTAATTCGTTTACCGAGTACATAAAAATATAATTTAAAACCCTTTAATTTATTTAAATATTCAATTAAGTTTCTTTTTATCTTGACGTTGTATTTTTCATTTAATTTAACTCAATCTAATAAATACTTTTTAAAACGTATGCTTTGTTATTCTATCTAGTAGTCTATATATAGGTAACCTAATGTCCTAATCAAAAATTTTGAATACGGCCTATTATTGTAACCTTATCCTATACTATTATTGTAGTAACTAGTTTTATACATTTCAAATCCCACATTACATAATATTTTGATTTGTAACTGCACTTCCTATGAATGATTAATCGTGTTTGATTCACCGGAAAATATTAAAATACTCCCAATTAAAAATCAAACATTATGAAATATGAATCACACATTATTTATTATTATGAACCAGTACCATGTACCGACCTACATAATAGTATAATACCATAGAACAATATAGAAACAACACTCGATCAGATAATAACATAATGTTTACTGTATAAAAAACTAAACCTAATTTTAATTTATTACTAAATAGTTATTAATTTATTATAAATATTTGACTACATATTATTGTAGGGGAACGAGGAATACGTGGATTTGACGGAACTCCCGGAATGCCAGGAGAAAATTCTCGTCCAGCGCCCAAAGGCGATAAAGGTAAACTTTGTTAAATGTACTGCGTAGGTTCCGTACATACTAAATCGTTTAAGAAAGAAAAACGTTTAGTTTTAATAATAAATGTGCCTATTATACATTTTACATTTTTAATGAGTGGACGTAGCAACATCACATAATCTGCGTCCATGTGTATAATATATAAGCTCTGCGCACAGTGTATCGGCGTCTAGCGTTTTATGATTTATATTTTAACCTACCTACTAAAAGTACATATTCGTTTTATTTACTGAATTAAAAATTTAGTTACCTATAACTTGAAGAAAAATGTACGGATCTAAAATATAATAACATTATATTGTTGTTATAGGCGACAGTGGAGCACCCGGACCACCCGGTCCACCTGGACCAGCGCAGTCTGGAGTGAAAATTGATAAAAGTAAGGATGGACTTTTGTATTATAGATTTTATGCAAATGTATTAATTGTAAATACCGTATTGATAATATTATAAAGCGTTGTTAAACGCATACTGCAATGACTCCTTCATTCATCCAATCAATCGATGTTGTGGCTTTTGTGCTGATAATATTTAGTATTTTCGTTATCGATTAGTGCACAAAAACAATCGCTCAACAGCATCTCTTAAACTAGAGTCAACGGTGAATATTCCGTTTTACATAAGTAAAAGGCTTTATATCTATTTACTACCTTCTGACAAAAGATTTTTGTCCAATCTTATCATATATAATTAACTAAAATAAAAATTATTGGAGTGCACAAAGATATTTTTATTACTCGTAGATTAAAATCTGTCATATATTTTGTGAAACAAATTGACATTTAGATATGACAAACTATGTGGGCATTAACATATCTATGAAATTGAATACAATCATAGATAGTAATCTAATAATACTTGGAATATATATAAATAAAAAGTAATAGCAATGTACTCCTCATGTGTTTTGTTTTTTTTTTAATGTTTATACAATCTACTCCTATAATATTTTCTGATAAAATTTCATTAATTTAGCGGATACAGCTGTTGTGAAAACAGTCAAAGGTGATAAAGGCGCAAAAGGAGATCATGGGGAAAAAGGAGCCGTTGGTAATCTGGGCCCAGGAGGAAACCCCGTAAGTATAATTTATTATATATTCTTTATTTGGACTAAAATGCACACATTACAAAAATAAAAGGTAGGTACCTGATAAGTTTATTTTAGTTATTAAATCATAACAAAAGTGGAAACATTTCTCCATTACATAGAATTATTATACAAGGGAAGAATTTTCGAGTCTCTCAATTATGAAATATAATAATTGTACATAAAACCTATGTACCATATAGTTATATATAGTACTGTGATTACATATATTACATTATACAATATATTATGTACCTACTAGCATAGTTTCATATTAACTATACAAATAGTATATATTCTAATAAATGTAAAAAAATATACATTCACTATAATTGAATGTAATTAAATGTTTAATTTACATATTTTTATTACTATTAATATTTAATACATTATACTTATTCGACTAATGGACAAGAGTTTATAAGTCCTACCCGCACAAAAATATGTTTTTAAAATGAATTAATCAATAAATTATTCATTAATAGTAAAAATATCTTCTTACCGTGTAATAAGCATAGTGTATGTATGTTGGTATTTGTCATAATTTTGTATTTAATTTACATACAAATAAACCAAAAAATATATTTTTTTTGGAACAAAATTATAATGGTGTATTACGTAGCTATATGTAAATAAAATAAATTACACATGTTACCATGTTTTACCTGTGGTTTAAGGGTCCTCCTGGTTTGACGGGTCCCAAAGGTGAACGAGGAGAGCCCGGATTACCAGCACTTGTATCATCTACGACCGATCTAGGAATGAACATCAAAGGAGATAAAGGTAGGAATGAATACATTTATTCGTTTAAACTTTATACTATAATAAAAAGTAAAAATTAATAAGCAGTCTATTTTTAGTGTGATAGGAGTACAAACATAATTGTCCTATGTTGACGACATTGACGACTAGACAAAGATAATATTACCTATATTCGTTTTTCAAACATAATGAATAAAGATGAATTTATACAATTTGTCGTGCACTAAGCACTTGTCCATTATTGTAAAACAAAAAAAAAATGTTAATAAATTAGTTATAATATTACAGTATATTATTATTCATTATATTGCATCTAATTATTACTATTTAAATTAAATTGATATCAAGAAATATTATTTTTTGACCCATGATGTAGTAAAAATAAAATTGTATTTTATAGTTATTCCTTTTTAATTACTTATATTTGTTAAGTATCTAAGTATACATGTTTTTTAGTAAAAGTGCATTTATATCAACATAGAGTAAAATACTTTGTGTTATTACCTACTGACATTTCAATAATAACGTATATTTTAATATTGTGTGTATTTAGGTGAAATGGGAAGACGAGGAAGACGCGGAAAACCAGGTAAAATATACCATTAAATTTGTGTTTAATTAACTCACGGGTTTTCAGTGGCGGATCCAGTGATAAGTTTTTTTTTTTTTTTGGAGGGAGTTAATAAAAGGCTATGAAATTGGCCAAACACAGTGTAGAACATAGGGAAACTACGGAAATTGGGGGGGGGGCATTGATTTCAACTTCAAAACGCCATGTAAAATGGATTTTTTAAATTATTTTTTTAACTATTATTAATTTATAGGTCCTACTGGTCCACCTGGTCCACCCGGAGAAATTGGTCTACCTGGTTTACGAGTAAGTTAAAAAATAATATATTGCTACTATAATATATATATATATATATCTATTATTATAATGTACTAAACGAGATAACTAATTCTATATTATGATGTTTGTTATTAATACGCTAATCAAAAATTAAGGAAGACGTAAGTTTTATTGTTGAAATAGCTATCATGCAGCAGTAATTATACAAAATAAATTTAAAAGATCCAATTATTATTAAAAAAAATCCTGTCACTGATGTAGTTTGAAACACGACAAATAGACGATATTTTATTTATTTTTAGATTAACTTTTCAATCATTTACGATATTTATTAAACCTGCTTTCTATTAAAACAGCTTATTAAATGACCTATTTGTAAAAATAATATGATATCATGATTTCACGATTGTATGTCTTAGGGTTCACCGGGCAAAGCAGGAGGTCTTAAAGGAGATAAAGGAGATCCAGGAGAATCTGTGGTAAGTAAATAATTATTAAAATACCTATTTGTATAAATGCTTTCATAATTTTAAACATTTAAAAAATATAATGATTGTGATTATAGAAAGGGGATAAAGGAGAGCCGGGAAAAGACGGATTACCAGGTTCTGGAGGTACATACGTGCCTGTTCCAGGACCACCAGGCCCACCAGTAAGTATTTTTTTATGCTTTATTCGTGTTCACGTTATCTGAAAATATTAACAAATAATGTAAATTTCACCAGGGAGCTCCCGGTATTGCAATTGAAGGGCAAAAAGGTGAACCTGGAGATCCAGGATTTTCTTCGTCACCTCTCCGAAGTAATAATAACACACTATAAGATTTTTATTTAAATCTTTACCATCAATATTGTTCGTAATTTATTATTTCCATATTCATTTTCAGGTGAAATAAACGAACCAACAATTGTACCAGGCGCTATGACGTTCCCAAACAAGAAATCAATGATAAACGTAAATATTAAATCCATATATTCATAAATCATAATATTATGCTACTTTTCGTCATACATCGCTGATAATAATTGTGCACATATTGTTTCAAAATAATTGAATTGTATTTATTATTTAGGTAACAGACAGAACTCAGATGGGTACCATTGCATTCATCATCGAAGAGGAAGCTCTTTTAGTCCGTGTCACGCGTGGCTGGCAGTACATTTCCGTGAGTCACAGTATAAAGATATGGATTTAATTGAATCATATCGAGCAATAATGTTTATTTTGTATTAGCTTGGCTCCTTGGTCACAACTGGAATCGACCCGGTCCCGACGAGCCTTCCTATGCCGACAAGAGTGCCGTTAGAATCATCGAATTTAGTACATAACCATCCAGTAAAAGATAACACAATGGTAAGGCACACTGTTCATTTTCAAAAAAATATAATTATTTTTTAGCACCCACTTACCAGCAAGTTATTGTATCATCAATAATATAATTGTTGTGTTTCCTATTTCTGTAAAATGTATACAACTGTTAAAACACGAAATCCGTCAAACCTAGTTTTAACTAGATAGTATCTACCTACCTATTAGTTTTCACAACCCTCTTTCGTCAAAACTGATTTTGACTAATTAAAACTATAATCACTAGGACGTTGGAATGGGTTATAACTTACTTTTCTTAGTTAGAACTAGTTGTGTCTGAAATAGTGAAATATAATAGTAAATACTAGAACTATCTAGTGTAAATCAATTTTCAGAAGTAATTTTTATATTGTTCGTTAAAACTTAAAACTAGTTTTAACTAAGAAAAAGTGGAAATATAAGTGGGCAAATGTTAAGATAAGTCATAGAAATGTAATGTGAACGTTTGAAACAAATAATCGAACTTTATTATTTGTTTCGGCAGGAAAAACTATCATAGCGCTTAGATTTACACAATATTTGATTTTTGTTGCACAAGCACCAATTGTTGAATATGTATTTTTTGAAGGTGCACTTCACAAAGTCTTGTCCTGACCCCTTCTATGATGATTTTGCTGTGGCCGCGCAAATGGAAATATTATTGCTTGGAACTAGTTTCTCTGTGTGAGAAATAAACTCAGGCCAAAACTAATTTTTAATGATATCTACCTAACAACTAATATTATATTAAATTGTATTTGGTGAAAAGTGAACAGCAATGAATATACTTGCAATAATGTCTGTCTAGAACTCCGTCTTTAGTTACAATTCTGCATCGTTTGTCAACGGTCGCGCAAGTTTTGGGTTTTATTTTTAATACCTAGGTTTAAACCAGGTTTAACAGATTTCAATTTTTAACTATGACATATTATTATATACTCAACACAGCATATAATAATGCAAAGATACCTTGTAAATATGTTTTTTTTCGAAACTAATGTACTCGTAATATTTTGTTCTGTTTCAGTGGCATCCTAAAATGGTGAGTATAATATAGGAATCTCTCGGGTTTGTTGAGTTTAATTACGACGTTATTAACTAACATAAAATTGAATAATATTATTAATATGTATAAGCGCGTATATTCGCGTGATTTAACTATTGCTGTACGCATCTTATATACGAACACAACAGTTATTATATTATTATGTGATGTTTCACATTGTAGTTACGAATAGCAGCGTTGAACGAGCCATACACAGGTAACATGCACGGAGTTCAGAGTGTGGACTATTCGTGTTATCGTCAGTCTCAGAGAGCGGGGCTTCACGGAGCGTTCAAAGCGTTCCTGTCTTCGCGGCTTAACAATTTGAAAACGATCGTTCACGAATCTGACAGAGATTTGCCCGTTGTCAACATCAAAGGAGACGTCTTGTTCAATTCTTGGAAAGATATATTCAGTGAAAACGGCGCGTTTATATCTCAACAGCCCAGGATATACAGTTTTAGTGGAAAAAATGTGCTCACCGATTTCACGTGGTAAGATTAATACAACTAACTATTATAGTTAGACCAAATAACTGTGGAAATTATTATAATGTCGTACGCACGTATATAACGTGTTTTATGTTATAATATATATATTTTATATTAATTAACCAGCGGCCACATAGAGTGGTTTTTTTAGTAGGTTTTTAACTGTGGGGGAGGTTACGGTTGGTTTGGAAGATGTATGTGTGGAAATGATTTATCACTAAGAACCCGGCTGGTCATCCATCCGGGATCTATAGTGGCACCGACCAGTGCTGGAATTCAGAACACATTTGTGACTGAAGCCAGACACCAAACCACACCAAGCCGCTATAATACATCGTTATCGTCGAATAACAATATGGGTATAGTAACTGCTGATCGTAAAATATTTGTCCCATATATTTTATAGGAAAACCGTATATAATTCTTATGTACTATGTTATTTAACGACTCGAAACTATAGACAGTTTATGAGAATTATTCCGGACGTTACTGGATTCCAAAGTAGTGAATTTTCTAATAAAGTCTCCGTGTACATAGGTATTGACATATTGTTTACATGTAGGCCATTTTCCTATAAAACATAAATATATAACGTACGTTTTGTGTTCCTTTATAATGTGTACATAAGCTATATTATAGTAATCATTACTGGTAGCAATTGTGTAGTTATTCCTATAGTAACAAGTCACAATAATAATATATTTATAATTAATACAATTTAACCGTACTCTGAGCTAAGATAAAAACGATTCTACAACAAAATATAATATAATATACTATATTGGAGGTTTAATCATTTTGAATAAATATAAACAGGATAAATGTGGCGTGGTGTCTACGAACAGTTGCGTACGAGTTCTGAGTATACGGGCCGACGTTTCTAGCTCCCAGAGCTTTTTAGCAACAAAATCCTTACCACACATACAATACGTATTTTAAACCAACAGTTTCCTTAGACAACCATCTAATGGCCACAGTTGCCAGGCTTTAAATCAATAAAAAAAAATTTTAATGAATATAAATAATAGATATTATAATAGTGTAAGCAATGCGACGTTCTAAAGTGCGTTTCTTCATTTTCCCGTAGATTTTAAAGGAATGATTGTCGTATTATTAATATTATTGTCCCCTAAAATAAAAAAACGAACAACTACTTATTAAAATAATACGAGATATTAGCTACCGGCCTCGTCGAACTGTATACTCGCCGTCAAGTCAGAACCCTTTTACTTTTTTCTTCTCCCGTTGCACGTATCGTACTACGGTATTTCTAATGCCGTGAAATTCGGCAAAGGCATATTAAAAGCCATTATATAACAATAACAATTCGTTTTAAATGAGCGATTCCATTGTAGTAATTTTTCCCTCTCGTAGTATGCCTTTGAAAATAAAAAAACGAGAAACCATTGTCTTTTCGTCACCGGTGCCTAGCTGCGTGTTCTATTATAGAGTAGCGGCAGCGGTATTCTCTTACAATAAACGCAATTCTGTTTTAAAACACGATTTAAAAAGATTTCGCGGGAAAGTGCTCTGCAGTGATGAATTTCGAGAAAAAAAACCAGAAAATGAATCAGAAAGAAATCCGCAAAAGTCCGAAAAATGGTGTCTTAAAAATTAATAACGATAACGATAGCTTTGTCTTGGGCAATATGTGAACTAAGTGTCTAGTATTTTTATTTTCGGCAGTTTGCCTCGAGAGTTACCCGCAGTCTGATTCTATAGTTAACGTCGTTAGTTGTCCTCATCATACGGCTTGTGATGTAGCTGATGATAGTAATAAATGTTAATTCAATAACCTAGCCTTTATTGTTCGTACGTATCTGAAGGGACAGGAGTGTCGATGACGGTCCGATGGAATACTGTAAGAAGTTCCTCTGTCGATGAAATCTTGAATGTTTTTGCCAAAGTTATAAATTTATGTCGAGAGATATTTGCTTTAAAAGTGGCTCAAACCTTTTCGTATAGTATTAGGTGTTATTTATTGTAAGCCGAAGACTCGTGATTTACCTTATATTGTTAATGATTTTTTTCGATGTTATAATATTATAATTGTGCTCTAAACATTCCATAGAGACCATAGTATGAGGATACACATTTCGCTTTCAATTTTGAGTGAGATGGAGTTTCGTGCGAATTTCCAAACTAGGATTCAAAATGCGTTTAAATGTCATTCTAGCGATTCACAAAAAATAAAAATAAATTATGAAAAAGCTTATTTGTTTTATCAATGAGAACTGTTGTTTGCCATTTGGATAATATGTAATACAATAGTATAATGTGACAATATAATATCTTATATTGTATTTATTATGTTTATAGTATTATAATCGTGTACCTACTAAAATGTCGATGATATTATTGTGTTTCATTGTTCAGGCCCCAGAAGACCATCTGGCACGGATCGGACCTGTCCGGCGACAGTGCCGTAGACGGCAACTGCGATGCCTGGAATTCTGAGAGCGCTGACAAGCGGGGACTGGGCTCGTCGTTGACGTCAAAATCCGACCGTCAGGCAAAGCTCTTGGACCAAGACTCGGCCTACGACTGCCGCAACTTTTTCGTCGTCCTTTGCGTGGAAATCACACCGCACTCGGGGGCTATGTTTTCGAGGAAACGGCGCAGTGGCAGTGGCATCGGAGGGTCGTACGACGAACTGCAACCACCGATGAGCCGCCAAGAGTACGAGAAACTCCTCGAAAGCATCGGAGCTTGAATACCATGCCTGCCCGAAAACGTATCCGTCGCTGGCTGTACTCGATTTTACGAAATATTATGTTATTATTTTAACTTAATTTTTTTGGTGTGTACGACAACGACGACGACGATACCCCGCTTCTTGTCCGATTTCATTTATTTTTGTTTTTAAACTCCACTTTGCTGTACATTATACAATGATATTATAATATCATCGGAGTGACATGATATAATATAATATACGATATAATTATAATATTATTGTCATTACCATCGACTACATCGTTAGTTAGGATTTGTATTCCATTGTCCATTCCTCGTTATTTTTCGTTATAATATACAACAACATATTTTAACAATCGCATATCATTCATACTACTTTCGCCATATCTGAATCATTTAAATAATCATTATTATATGTATTGTTATCGTGTTGAGGTTTCCGAAACCACAACAGTGGATCGCTTAAATAATATTATTATTATCACACTTCATATGATACTATTACACAATAGTGAGCCCACCCTTAAGATTATCATCATCACACTGGCACGTACCTCACAGATCTTTTGAACGACTTTTATTCGAAATTTACCTTAATATTTCCATCGATTCAATACATATTTTGAATGTTTTGTTTTTATTTATTTAACCGTAGTAAATAGTATTGTTAATGACTAAGTGAATGTTATTGCGTATTCCTAATGAATGATCGATTTACAGTTCGTAACAGAATAATATAGTTTAATATCTAATAAGCAAGCAGTGACACAATTTGAATGGTTTTAAAAAAAACCTTATTTTTGATTTAACCATATTACTTTTTACCATCAAAAAATTTATCATTAACCACATCAAAACGTCAATCATATAATATTATCAACACAGATAAGTCGTTTTTAGTTAAATTTCTAATTCCATTTCATAAATAACCATTTGCATTTACATGAATATAAAATTATTGTTTTGGACATTTAGTATATTATAATTGATAATTGTTTTACATTTATGTGTTCAAGTAATGATATTATATATTTATTTTAAATATTATTAAATCATTTTATACTATACATACATGTATGAGGTCTGTGTAAAACCTAATCGTTTATACTACAACATATAAAAACATTGATTTTATAAAACATTTTGTACATTGTATATATAGTTTTAAATCAATTAATTTTATAAATAAAATCTTAATTATTAAGGTATTAGTTTGTGTAATGATAGCACTAGTATAACCTATTAACAATTTAAAAAAATAGTTTGAAAAATAACCCAGTGCCATCAATTATCAAAACAAAATTAAAAATTGGTATGCGTATAAATAATTTGAATTTTCATTCGTATTTAAAATCTTTATTATTTTAATAATCAAACAAAGTTCAGTGCATGAATGATGGAAACATTCGATATGATTTTGTATAATGATGAATAATGTACATCATACATAAAAATTAAGTTAAGAATTAATTTGAAGTGTGTTCTATATTTCTATAAACAAATATAATATATATTTAATCGATGAACATTTTTTTTTTTTACAATAGCCATAGGACATATTATAGGATATTTTGATGTATTATTTGATGTATCGTGACTGTAATAGATATAACAATCCTTTATACATGTATCCAAAGATAGAGTGAATTTGATAAAAAAAAACTTTTTCAAGTTAAAATATAGGTTATATAATTACTATAAAATGTTTTGAATAGTATTCATTTATTAGTTCATACACAAATAAATAAATACAATTCGGAAGACATTATTTTACTTTGGTTATAAGTTATAACCAAAATACACTTATAACCTATAAGATAAAATAAGAGTATTTTTTACATTTATTTCAATTACATTAGGTACCTAAAAAAATAAAAAACTTATATGTTAAGATAAAACTAAATTAAGCGAGATATTTAATATCTTAGTCAAAGACTATAATTTTAAACATTTAATGAAAGTATAATATGTAATAAGTATATGACTTTATTAAACTTTAAAAAAAGTTTGTTTTTAATATAGTTTTAGAACATATAATTACAATAAATGATGATTATTATTGTTAATTAAAGAATACATTTTTATTGTAGCTAACTTTTATACCTATCAAATTAAATTGTATTTACTGAATTTTTATTTAAAAACATAAACTCAATTTGTTACAAAACTACATAATACAATTTACTGAAAAATAACAATTTTAAGAGGTTACAATTTCAGCCAATTCCAATACCTCCCTAAAATATAACAAACCATTCTGTATTTTATATAAATTTTACCAGCCTATAAGTTCGTTATTGTTTCTAAGCGTATGTAAGTTAAGTGTTTAATAATTAGATCGTTCTGTATTGTTTTATTAGCTACTATAATATTATTAAATGTGTAAACACTAAAATAAATTGCAATTATTATAATGTCGTAATTATTAATTTAAGCATAGTTTTTAATATATTAAATATGTCGTACCGTACTTTCCAATCCTATAACACACTAAAGTACCTACAATAAAAAAAAAAATACTGAATCCATCATTAAACCACCAATTTTCTAAGATCCACTAACTGCATTTTTTTTATTCAATGGTTTATACTCGTTATTTTTGTTTTGTATTTCATAAAAAGAATAAACCAGAAATTCACGCCAAGACGAGTTTCATAATAGTTCCCCACACTGTGTTTCTACTTTCTGTTTCCATCCAACTTTTAATGTCATTTGGAACACGGCGATATGTGTAGGCAATTTATGTACATATTTTGCTCAAGGGTGTCGGAGCCAGTACCTTTTTAGTACGAAAACATGACGTCTTAAAGGAAAATCTCTCACGTCCTATATAGAATAGTCAGATTTCGTTAATTTTTTTTTTTTGAAAGGAGTACATTTTGCGCTTCGGATCAAAGGCCGATTTTCAAAATTATAATCATTGGATATAAAATATGCATTTGAATAATGCACAATCTTTGTTATTTTTCAAACGTATTTTTCTAGCACTATTTAATGTAAAATGAAAATTTTAGTCTTTGATCCGACCTGAAAAAGTGCTCATCTTCTGGAGAAAAAAAATGATCAAAATTTGTAGTATCAATGACTAATGAGGCGTGAGAGTTTTTCCTGTGAAGTAAAGATAAATATAGATTATCTAATTTATAATCATGTAATACTCCGTATCGACCCCCCTTGTAAGTACTAAGTAGAAATAGGGTAGAACATGAGAGAAAAAGTATTATTATAATTAAGATAGCAACTAAAAGATAAAATATAATTTTCAAATTTAATAAAATTCAGGAAAATATTAAAAACCCTCACTAACTACTTTATACACACGCTGCGTAAAAATTATAATATAATTATAATATTTATAAGTTATAATACATTGTAAGACCGATGAAAAATCTTAGCTTCTCGTCACAGTGCTCTTCGTAATGTTTTACATAATATTTAATGAAATAGTATACATTGCAGTCCACTATTTATCAGGTATTTATTAGACCCTTAATCTCGGACAGTCGGACGTGATATTTAACAACTATAATAACATGATATAATGTGTATTGGGCTGACCTTCCGTAGTAGGTATTGTATTAACTGTATTAACTTGAATCATATTCTGTATGTTATAGGCAATGATACTATCAAAGATAACATCCAAGAAAGAAATTAGTGCTTCAAAATAAATTAACAGGGAAATAGGAGTAGACTAATAATAATAACTGGTATCATCTGTTGATCGAAATTAGACCATAAAAAAACAGTTTTAATATTGTAAAATCACCAAGCTCTAAAATATTTCATATTTTCTTTTACACTGTAGTTTCTTCTCATTTTATTTGTTTGAACTTTTCAAGGGCAAGGAAAACAGATATTTCCTATTTTAGTTTTCGAGTCTACAAACGTACGGACATTGCCTTTTGACAAGATGTGCATTTAAACAACAAACAGCATAATAATTAACTATTATTTTCTTTTATCACACAAATAAAATGTTTTTGGACTAAATGTTTTCGACCGATTTTTCGTCATGTTTTCTTTGTCACGGTTATTCATTAACAGAAACATATTTACTATGATTCGTAGATTTTCCTTGTAGCGGAAAAATATAGAGTGGCTTGTCTAAATGTTGGTGAAGTCAATATTTTTTGGCTTCTTAACACAAATTTGGAACACCTTCTACCCTTGTTGTGTCCGTCCGTTCTATACAGTTAGGTAAATATGTAGTTTCGAATTACGATTGTTGATAGGTAATTTATTAAGAGAATGTCAGCGAAAGATTTGTTTTCTCTCGTAGACCCACGCGCAACCAGGATAAAACGCTTTCGTACCTATAATCGGTTTTTATAATTTTTCAGTAATCTTAGTGTAAAATCACCTACTGCAAAAATTGTAAGAGGATAATGTCTTTGAGGATGACATATAGTTTTATATTTCATTATTATTTGACTATGTATTCGACTTTCAAAAAAAAAAAAAAAAATGTTTGACTTAAATGTTTTTTTTAAATTGTTTTGAGATAATATTTAGATTAACCGAGATGTCATACCCTCAAAATTATTATTCTCTATCGTTTAATGAGTGATTTTACTCGAAGATTACTCAAAAACATTTTTAAAATAAAGGTTCTGCTGAGATGCGTTCTGTCAATGTCCCACGTAAGCCAGAGAGAAGTAAAACAAACCTTACGCTGGCATCTTCTTAAGATATTTATTTAATGTCCATAGCTACGAAGTATATTATATTGTATAATATGGAATCATGGTTGATTGTCCATTGTATTAAAATACGTAAAATAATTCGAATATGGGTACGAAAACAAGTGCTTAATGTACAGATAATTAATTATCGTTGTTTATCACTCGTAAGAATTATGAATAAAATATATGTACTTGATATTAGAAATATTACCGCAGGCTGTAACTTTTCAAATAGTAAATGAAAAAATACTTACTTGAAACCACTGAAAACTCTTTTTTTCGTAAGCCATGGCTTATGATTAAAGCTGTAGTAGTAGTCGTATTAAAAACTTTTTTACCTATGTGACTCTCTTATCACGCCCATTAAGGTAGCTGTTGAAATATTCTATTGTGCAAATGCATAGATTTTTATATTTCTAATATAATAGTAATATTATGTCCCACTTTCAAATCAACCTTGTGAAAACGGTTTTACATAACT